ACATATATATTTTTTTATTTATCATTTTGTCTATTTCCCTGTGTTCGTAAGTATTTTTTGTATTTGTAATTATGAACATCAAACCCGAGCTTAGTGCGTTACTCATACGCCATGTGCCGCTTCAGGTACGGTTAGTTCACTATATGAGGAACACTACTAGTGCAATGCCGGCGCTGCTGCCGTTACAGATTCAGATTCGTTAATGCTAAGGTTGTGATTTACGGCACTTTAACTACACATAAAGCAAAACGCTGACCTTAAGGCTTGATTGCAGTAATTACCCCATTATCACGGGTTTCGGTAATTTTAGTTGAAACTTGTTTTTTCACCATGCAAGTGATACCGTTTTTTTTGCAATTTTTCGTACGGTTTCGCACATGCGTCAAGTGTATGCTTGCAACGGTTATTTATTGCCAACTTTAGCTGTAATTACACGCGTGAATAATCGCGTTTTTTGTTGCTGCGCAGCTTGCCAAGCAAATTTGTTGATTTTGTTTTTGTTTTAGTATCTACTTAAGTTTATATAGTATAATAAGTGCTAGCGCGTTAAGCGTATAAATTTACATAATTATATGAGCGACAGAACTTTAAAACTAACTCATATTTAATGCAGTTCGTTTTGACTTTAGACAGGAGCAGTTTTTGCCTAAAAATATATATAGTTGGTGAAGCTAAGATACTTATATTGACAAATGAGCATGCTTTTGCTATTGTTGGAAGTACTCAGGTATTTTTTCTTATGTTGATTCTCAATAAAATTAAATTTTATTTTCGATGCTACATTTTATTGCTTAAATTACTATTTAAAAAATTTCAAAATTAACACATAAAAAGGCAAATTGTTAAAAAAAATATGATTAAAAAGCAAATAAAATAATAATAATTGAAAAAAATCAAAAATTTAATGTACCGTTTCGCCATTATTTGTCGGTTTTGTTGAAATTCAACTTTAATTATTTCGATTTTTTCACTTTGCTTGTTGTCAAACTTCTTGGCAGCCGGCTACAGTACTATTAAATTGTGATAAATGATTTGGCATAATTGCAGAAACGTGGTTATGATTTGCAGAAATCAATCTAATGTAGCAGAAAATGTATACAACTGCTTTGCGCATTCCTAGCTCGTTAAATGTGCGCATATAATAATGATATGAGCGGTTGTACGGCCGTCACGTAAGCGGTAAGACGGGTTCGCCGTCATTTTTTTTTTTTTTTTTACAGTTTACTTATGCATACAAGTTTAACTTTGATGTTTGTCTAATCAGCTACATACAAACGCTAAACAAATACATCATTTGGCTGCTTAAGCTTTTCGCTGTCTTGTCAATTTTGCAGCAAGCGCGAAAAGGACTTCCTGTTTATAATAACTGACGAGCAATTACTTGGAAAAATTAGAATTAAATACTATGTACACGGGCAAGCAACGAGTCAAAATCGCAACGGAAGCGTTCATCATGTATGAATGTTGCACACTGGCCGTAATGGGAAGTTCACTGTCAAACGTAATTGATATACATACTTAAAAATACATACTTATGCCTGTACATAAAAGAAAACATATATAAATATATATACACTTGCATTATATTTAAAAAATGTATCCCACTTTTGATTTTTTTGATTAATTATTTCATCTATACTTAATATATATGTACATATATGCGTATGTATATGCAATGCTACTGATCTCTATTCTTCTTTACTGGCATAGAACCTCTACTCACTGTCAATTATTTTACAATAAAGAAGTTATATATCTGTTTACTTACCTTGCATACATCGTTATAGCCTTATTAGTTACTTAGAGATGTATATTAAATAGCAGCTTTAAGGCTAGAAAAACAGCTACAAGATTTATGCTTACATACATACACACTATATTGTAGCACATTTTATTATTAATTTATATACATTTGTAAATATATTGACATTTACAATTCAATTTGAATTACTTAACGTCACGAAGCTAAAAGAGCAATGCTCTGACGTGCACATTTTTGCTTCTATACTATAGTAAATACAAGAAAGAAACGTTAACTTTTCAAGGAAGCTAAATACCCTGCACAAAACAGAAATTTTTCCATACAATAACTTGATTTCAACCCGTTAGTTTATATGCTATAGTGGGTCGAGCTGTAAAATTTGTTCGGAGATTGTGCCATGGCCGCGGAGAGTAATCTATGCCAAATTTCGTGAAGATATCTCGTCAAATTAAAAAGTTTTCCTGCAAGCACTTGATTCCGATTATTTAATTTGTATGGCAGCTATACGCTAGAGTTGTCCAATTTCGTCGATTCTGCCAAATGAGTAGCCGCTTGGAGAGAAAAGCGCGTGTGCAGAACTCTAGCTAGATAAGTCAAAAAATGAGGGACTAGTTGGCGTATATGCAGACAGCCAGTAGTACAAGGCAAACTCGACTCGCGTCTTCATGCTGATCATTATATGTATATAATTTTTATTGAATCTCCAAAATTTCCTTTTGGGCGTTACAAACTTGTTGACAAACCTAATATAACCTGTTCAGGGTATAAATATATTTATATACACATTAATGCAATATTATTGAAAAATTTATTTGCAAGCACTGCGGACTTGGCTTGAATAAATTCATTCAAGAATCTCACATATGCAATTGCTGTATATACTTATAAATATGTACATCATTTGAGCTTATGCAAACATTTGCGCATACACTTTAAGATTACTTATATACATACATACATACTTGTCACAGCACCAGTCAGCGGACAGCCCCTGTTAGATAGCTGCCATAGCACGGATATGTCTAGAATTTGTAATTAGAATTGTTTCAAAATGTTATGAAAGAAATTAATTTGCAACAAAAATTATACTAACAATGAGGTTACCAAATTAAAATGCTGCAACCAACAATACTTTTATTTATGGCCATATTTAGTATGCCATAATTTATATGGTAACAAATTTTTACATTTTTTTCACCAAAACATCACATGTCTTTGATATTTTCGTCAATATTTCGAGCGCATTCGTCGCATCTTCTTTTATAACAAAATTATAACACTTTACGTGCCATTTACTATATAATTAATTTTCAAACAACTCAAGTGCAGTCAAGTTCCAACACCTCAACTCAGCTGGCTTAAATGGTGAGGTTCTTATGCGCCTGCAATTACATACATATTTATGTATATGAAAAACTGGTTTTACTGCACACGAAGCACATAAATACGCACATATGTATATATCGCTTGCGTACGTTAGTTATTATTCAGGTATGTAAGTACATCGATATGTACCCTATATTGTGTTGGCAAGCTCATACCACTGGTTGCTCTTCTGTTGGCACTTAGTCCAATGTAATCATGGGCTTTGGAATTCTTAAGGCGACTATTTTAAATTCAACTACTAAGCATATGCGCGCACACTCACATAATTGCGCTATGCAACACATATAACTTTTATCCTCTAGATACATTGCCTACATTGCATTGGCTGGTCATACATATTGCGCCGCGGCGTTGTGGCTATAGTCAACGGCCAGGCAAAACGTGCCCAGCCAAGCAGACGTAATAGTTGCAAACTTTGTTTCGCGTGATTCTTTTCATTACTTTATTTATGTTTCATCTGGTGCCCCTTTCGCTTCCAACCAACAGCGTTCGTTTTTTATTCTTGGCGCATACACACATTTTAACGTGGTTTTCAAAAACTTTGGTAGGCTGGCTTGAATGCTTCGCATACCCATATACATACATATGTATACATAGCCATGTATGAATGTTTTGTACGAAAATAGCTTCGCCAAAGCATTGCGTGATCACGACGCCAAACGACTCTCAACTTTTCGTTCTGCCATTGACTCTGACTTTGGCTTTGATTTTTTCGTAAACTTGTCGGGAAGGAAACATCTTTCGTGCAGTCTTTTTCCCTGCGCTCTTTGCTTATATTTGTCGCTTAAAGTAGCAGCATTTGCTTTGCTAACGATCGCTTGGGCCCCTTATCGAATTTATGCATGTATCCACCACGTTTGTATGTATATAGCATCCTTGCCTTCGAACGGAATTGTTTCTCACATCCCAGCTGGGCCAAACGACGTAAGTATTTCTGAACAGCTATAATTTTGCCGTTGTCTGCAACTTGCACTGTTTAGAAGTTTTTTTGTCGATGTTGCATTGTACTAACGCGAACAACTGGTTGTCGTTAAGCGACTGCAAAAAAAAAAAAGACACAAACAGTACAAGCCAAACACATAAGACGCAAGGTATTGCATGAGGCTGAGGGAAAAAACCTTGATCTTGATCTCAAATATACAGGCAGCAAAAAAATAACTAGGTGTAAGTACAAGCACAATAACAACAACAGCGATTTGGTCTTGTTGCTGTTATACCACACCAGCTCCTCCCACAGCGCGACGGTTTCACATTACTCCAATACCAGTTTGCAACCTTGCCTTTGCTTTTATGCATTATTTATTGGTACTATATACACTATTACACCATTTGTTGTTCTTACAACTATTTTTGCATTTGCTATTACTTTTTGCACGTTCTTCTCTACTTGTATAACTTATTGCTGTTCTCCTTCATGCACTTCTATGCAGTTTTAGTTTTATATTTAGTGAGCCGGTCCAATACCTCCATACATACATGCATATGAGTAAGCTTGCAAGTGCTTCTCTTGGCGCAGCATTCCCTACAATTCGTTTAAGAATGAGTAGGTAGATCCAGGGCTCAAGCAAATGTCAATCAAATCAATTACCATGTTATTAAATATGTATGGTTTTTTATAAAAGTATTTCTTGATACTCACCGAACTCGGTTTCAACTCAGCCCCATAGGTTGTCCCGAATGTTTGTCACTTCAATAAATAGAATCCATTAGGGTCTCTTTAATTTTATGGAACATTTCATCTTCAAAAGCAAAAAACCAATTAAATATACTGACATTAACTTATAAATATTGTTTACAAATATTTATTACTTACGGTAAAGTTGGCACGTAAGTGCCCGTCAAATTTTAAAATAACTTAGCAATGTTAAAAAAAATACCATATTTCCTTTGATCATCTATAAACTTCTCTATAAAAACCTATAAACATTTTAAACTAACTTTTGTGTAAGTTTGAAACGGCAACTATGGAAAAAGCTCCCATTGCCAGTGCTTTCTCCGTCACAGCTGATGATATAACTCATCTATTACAATTCATTCATACGGCATTATATTCAGTTATAGTAATCTCGTACAATACAATTCAAAATGTGGGCCGCACATGTTGAACCAACAGTTCTTGGTGCCGTTTTTGAATCCGTTTGTTTACTAAACCAATGATAACGTGATTTTAGTCAGCCGTAATTCGAAATGTGTACTAACAAAGCAGTTTTCCAAGTTTTATTACTCTCCAATTATTTCAAAATTATACCCAGTCTAATAAATTAAAAATATTGAAGTGACAATGATACCAAATACTCCGTTTTGTGTTATATTCACAAATTACGACGTTGTTTTCAGCGGCAGGTGTTTGACCACATTTGTTTGTTCAAGAGACACGTACCGGGAGACCATACCATGTGAGACAAGTGCATATAACTATGTAAATATCAAAATATATTAACTGTGAATAGTATTTACTAATTTGCTTTGTTTTTGACTGCTATTATTAACGGTTTTATATAACTGAAATGTGCTGTTTTTATATAAACTTTTATATTATAAATTCTAAACTTTTGCCAAGTTTATGGGAATTTATGTATTCTTGAGAAAACGATACTCTCAATAAAAATGTAATAGTGCGACGATCCTCACAAAGTCCTCAATTATCATAATACTCCTACAAACCCGCAAATCTGGCAAGTCGTCCCCATAATTAATCAGACTAGGGGAAACAGTTATGTGGCAACAATTTGCATAGTCTAGACATATAAACAGTTATTTAAAATTCCACTTGGTTTAGTGCGCAGTTAACTAAAAAGTTTATAAATATCTGAAAATATTCACATATAATTGATACAAAACCGTTATTGAATTAACAAGGTCATTTCAAAGTCACTAGCGACTGCAAAAAATCTTAAATTTTTCAAAATTGTAATAAAGAAAGTATTCTAGTTTCCCGTTAATTCCAGGAAAGAAGCTGTCATAATACTTCCGTTCATTCTAGGAAATTTTGTACAGTTAACACTTCTCAGATATTTGATAAATTATGCAATTTTTATTTATGAAAATTTTCTTTCTTCTCTTCCAGTTGGAGGTACTGCAATTACACATAACGATCGTTTATCACCAGCAGTTCCAACTTTGGCGGCTGAAGCAACAGCCACCGAAACTACTATCTCCTCACTACCACACACATCGATCACAACTCCGCAACCACAATCACCTCCACACAAGACTCCCTCGCCGTGCAGTCCGTTCGGCCAGGACAGTTTTGTTAAAGAAACAGAAGACTGTAAAAAGGATTCGCAGGCGGATTCTTATATTCAAGCACCAAAAACTGAAAAAATCCCGAACTCCAAGTCGTCTATTGAAACCACAAATCAAACTGAGGAAATTGTGCACACTGATAAACCACGATTCTACTCTTCGATTTTAGGTGGTAATAAACCCTACAGTGGTGTTGTATTAACACAAGCGCAACGTAAAGAATACCCGGTTGAGGTGGTAAGTCGACGATTAACAGCAACTCCTATCGAAGATAGCTCCAGTGATTCTGATTCGGATGCGGAAGGCTCCAAACTTATTGTTGATGAAAAACCATTGGTTCCTGAAGATAAACCACTGTCATTGCGTTTGCGTAGCACTCCGCCTCCATTAGAGAAGCGTCCTAGTCCACCTCCGCCACCAGAACCAGCAGTACGGTGCAGTGTTATACAACGAACACCAAAACCAGCACCAACACCACCTCATCGTCCAAATCAACACGAGGTTTTACTGCCTCCCGGTTCTCTTGAACACCTCGGACCCGAACAACAAGAACCTATTGACTATCACGTGCCGAAACGGCGTTCGGCTTCAATCGATAGTGACGAAGAGCAAACTGATTCGTTGAACACAAAACGTTTAGAACGTGAACGAAAATTGCGTGAAGCTCGTAGACGTAGCGCAATATTAGCCGCACGTGCTGTGCTTGCCCAAGCGAGACTTAATCCACGTCTGGTACGTAGYCTACCCGGTATCTTAGCAGCAGCAGCTGGACACGGCCGTACATCGTCTACAGGAGCCGGTCAAGGTTTCCAAGGCTCTAGTGGCTTCGGAGGAAATAATTCAGGCAGCGGCAACAATCAAAGCCCAAGCGGAGGTGCAGGTTCACCTACAGGCTTTGGTGGTGCGCTAGGCGGCAGCGGAGGTGCTGGAGGTGGTATGGGCGGCGGTCGTGACGGTCGCAGTAATTACGGTCCAAATTCACCACCATCTGGTGCTCTTCCTCCATTCTACGAGAGTTTAAAAAGTGGCAACACAATGAATTCATCATCTTCATCGTCGGCGAATTTCAATGGAAATTCAAATTTCTTAATACAAAATGCAGCGGCAGCTGCTTATTTAATGTCCGCAGCGGGTGGAAACGGTGGCGGTCAGCAGCATTCAAATAATTATTTAGATTGTAGTTCAACGAATGCAAACAGTGCAGGAGGTGTGGGTAGTGGTGTGAACGATAGTGGTAGCGGTGGCTTGGAGATCACCACATTTGCCAATGGCCAGGGTAACACAAATTATTCTGCGCATGCGCATAATAATAAATATAATAATAACTCTTCTTCCTCTGCTCAACATCATCATCACCATCATGGACATCCACATTATGGCAACAACCCATCAGCGTACGGCATTATATTGAAGGATGAGCCGGATATTGAGTATGACGAAGCCAAAATTGATATCGGTGCTTTCGCGCAGAACATTATTCAAGCAACTATGGGGAATTCGGGAAATTTCAATGCTGCGGCCTATGAAGACGCAATCATGTCGGATTTGGCCAATTCGCAAGGTCCCAACGGCTCTGTAGATCCATTACAATTCACCGCCACACTTATGCTGAGCTCACAGACAGATCACTTACTGGAACAACTCTCGGATGCAGTCGATCTTAGTTCTTTTCTGCAACGTGACTGTGTGGACGATGATAATTCCACCAGTCCCCGACAGGATTTCGAGCTGGTTTCGACGCCATCACTCACGCCCGACTCGGTGTCCATAACGCCTGTGGATACCAACAATGGAGGCAATCTAGATACATTCCACGAGAGTCTTATACAACAAATAACCAATAACATTTCGCGCAATCACATTGGCAGCAACCAAAATGGTAACATGCAATCATATCCATTCGAGCGTCAGCCACATCTGAACGGCAACCAGCAACATCTGGGCAACGAGCAGCATAATGTGAATCATCAACAGCAACAACCACCACCATCCTACCAACATGCGACACGTGATTTGTTGCAAATGCAACAACAGCAACAACAACATCATGCACAAACACATTCTTATCAACAACAGCAGCAACATCATTCCAACTCCATGTTGCAACACGGTGGTCCAATGTTGTTGGCCCAGCAACCACAACAACACGCCTACCAACAACACGGTCATCCATACGGTCCAGCGCAGCATCATCACCAGCAACCGCATCACATTGTGCCGCCTCACCATATGCAACATCACCATCATCACAGCAGCGATAACAGTAATTTGTCGCTGCCCTCACCGAATGCAGCACATCTGTCGGCGCATCACGGCATGTCCTCGGCAGCGAGCAACTCGTCGGGCGCCTCCACTTCCGGTCTGCTAGACGCCAGCACGGCGATGCTCGATACCAAGCCGCTGATACAAAGCGTAAGTCCCACACATTCGACCGGCAGTTCCAATGCAAGTTCTTGCGCTTTGGGTACTAGAAAATTGAGCACAAGCTCCTCTTGCGCGTCCGCAACGATGGTGGCGCCAGCGTCACTGCGTAGTGTGGCTGCCGCAGCGGCAGCTACAGCCGCTGGCATACTGCCACCATCGCCCACTGTCGCCATGCTGCACGAAAGCAAAGTGCTACAGCAGAGGGTAAGCATCAAAGTCAAGGCAAAAGCAGAAATCAACATAACACTTTGTTCTATCGTTTGATTGTTTTCGTTTTGTTTGAATGCTATAACGGTTCTTTTTCATGCACGTACCAACACATACGTAGTGTATAACCTGTGCGGCAGCAAGGGATTGCATACGCGCGGGTTTCACGCACATAACGGTGCATACGTAATCTTTTGCGAGCCTAGCTTGTATCTAATCCTCTGCTCCGCACGCGGCTGTAGGCTCTAAGCTCTTGTAAATAACCGTTACATGTAAATACCTACTTAGATCATCTAGCTTCTTCTTGAAGACTTGTACATAGCTAATTGCAAGACATCCTACTAGTTGTAGTTGTTTATATGAATAACGTTGCCAATGTTAACTGTATTGTGCGCCCAGCGAACTTGTTTTGTAACTCTCCAAACTGTTGTACTTTTTCTTTTATACAAATATTAATTTTCTCCCTCCCCCTCGTGCTTATTTACAGTTGGGTTTACCACCTGAAGTGCAACTGGAATTCGTCAACGGCGGTCATGGCATTAAGAATCCACTCGCCGTGGAGAACACACACTCGGGTCACCATCGTATACGCAGCATCGATTGCGTAGACGATTTGAAGAAGAGCGGCAATGTCAGCACTGACGGTTCGGAGAGCGGCGGCGGTGGCTGTGCCGGCGATGGTTCCAAATTCGTCTGTCGCATCTGCCTGAAATCGTTCTCGCTGCAACGCCTGCTGAATCGCCACATGAAGTGTCACTCGGAAATCAAACGCTATCTGTGCACCTTCTGTGGCAAGGGCTTCAACGACACCTTCGATCTGAAGCGCCACACGCGCACACACACCGGCGTGCGTCCGTACAAGTGCAACTTGTGCGAGAAGAGCTTCACGCAGCGCTGTTCGCTGGAGTCGCACTGCCTCAAGGTGCACAGCGTGCAGCATCAGTACGCCTACAAGGAGCGACGCGCTAAGGTAAAAGCGAGTTATTGGAATTTAATTTATTTTGTTTTTTTTTTATTTTATTTTATTCATTTTTTGA